TGACGTCAGGTATGCGCTTTAATCGGGCGCGCTTTAGTGGACCGCGGTTTTGTCGTGCCACGAAATGATTAATCCACATGACCTTTTAAACTTAGAATAACTTTATTGTCACTTTGAATGGACACTAATTGGCATACATTAAAGTGATATTTCATTGCACAAGTTTCCCAATGTCGTTTCCCAATGTAGTTTTAATTACTTCAGTGCTGACCAATTAATATCATCTTACCTGTACTTCTATCCCATAGCCCATATACACTGAAATCGTGTAAGTACAGTCCAGGCCTCCGTAAAAGGTAGTGCCAGCATAATCGGGAGATTCAACGTAGCCTTCTATGTCGGTGATGTTATTGTTGCAAAGCACTTGGCAAGGGAGGCAGGAGACAAAAAAGCTTAGTTTAGTCCAGGATGGTCTGTAAATTTTTTCAACCAAGTTCAGCTTACCACTATTTGGTGACTCCATATGGGCCAGCCAGACTTTTTGGGCTGGGGAATGATAAAGGTAAAGGTAACTGTTTCCCGATGCCCAGCCATACCTGCGTCCAAAGATTGGTGCTCATCTCCATTTCTTAGCCAAGGGACACAGCGTTGTCTGTGAAGATGTTCTGACTGAGGCTTCCCAAGAGCATGAAGCAAACGCCTTGTCCCAACAAAAACCCCTTTTATTAATTTAACTGTGAATTCTGCTTATTCACCGCCAGCAAAGTCTTTCAAGGGAGGATTTACAGTCACAGACCTTATCTGGCTTGAAGAGCTGATAGGCCGATGTCTGCAAAACTTGGCAAGAAGCCTCGAACAATCACGAACCAATTAAGTGAACTAATTGTCTCCTGCAAACTCCACTCCCCTTTCTCTCCTCTTTTATTTCCTCTGGAAGGAGCCATTTATCGCCCACCTGTGGTCTTACTCCCAAGTCGACCCTCATTCTTAAGCTGTCTCCTTCGTCTGGCAACTCTGTGCATGCGCACACTGGGAACAGGCTCCAGCTGTTTGTCTGCCTCACTGATGTCCAACTCTGAAGGCAGCTGATAATGTTGGACAGCCCTGCCTCCCTCTCTGCCTCTGACACAGAGCCCTCATCAGAGCTTTCCCCAGACTCCAAGACTGGCCCACATCCTCCCCAACCTCTTCACTGTCCGAATCTGTTGCTAGCTCCATAGGCCGCTGGTGGACCACAACAGAGGATACTTCGGTGGTCATGTGGTCGTTATGACTATAGGCCGAGGGGCATAGAACGCTGCTTCCCACTGAAGTGGTACCTTTTTATCTACTCGCATTTGCACGCTTTCAAACTGCTAGGTGGGCAAGTAACGGGGGAGCATCAGGATGGAGAAGGCTTACACCCAAGTCCAAAACCTTTGCATCTCACTCATATCACTTACCAGGTGTGTGAACGGTTGTGATTGTCGTCGTAGTAATCAGGGTAGTCGTCGTCTCTTCATCACCTTCGGGGATGAAGGCGGTAGTGGTGGTTGAGATAGGGTGGTTGGCAGACCCGACCTCATCCGGTGGAGGGGGTAACCGGGGTGGAGCAGCCGCCGTTGAAGCTGGAGGGGTGGTGAGTAGGAAGCCAGTGGGAGGGGCAGCAGTGGTCAATGGGGAGGGGCCAGTGGCCGTGGCTTCAGAGGTCTCAAGGACCATCCCACCATCTAGACGTTGGATGGGCGGATGGAATGGGGGCAGAGTGGAAGACTGTCCTCCTAGTTAAAAAGAAGGGGTGCATGGAAGTCAGAACAGAGGAGGGAAAACACTGGAACTCTCTCATACCCTCCCACCCCCAAAAAAGTGTCCTCTCTGCCACCTGTTGTTGTTTTTTTCCTGGCAGAAAAAAGAATGTGCTATTATGGAACTATTCAATAACCCATTTTTAAAAGTGCAATGCCAAATGTTAAATTTTGCCCTTACAATAGGCCCACGGTCCCCCTCCAAGAATAGCAAGAGCACTTAGACTTACATATCGCTTCAAAGTGCTTTTACAGCCCTCTCTAAGCTGTTTAGAGTCAGCCTCTTTCCCCCAACAATCTGGGCTCTCATTTTACCCACCTCGGAAGGATGGAAGGCTGAGCCAACATTGAGCCTGGTGAGATTCTATCTGCTGAACTGCAGGCAGCCAGCAGTCAGCAGAAGCAGCCTGCAGTTCTGCACTCTAACCACTGTGCCACCACAGAATCACCCCTGCCCCTCCATTTTTCTTCAACCCGAGCCACCCTTTCCTCTACATCTAGTCCCATCCCAGGCAGAGGCCTTCCCCTTCCCCAAATTCTTTGCTTTTTCTCACCAGGAATAGGCTCTTCCACCACCTCACCCCCAAGAAACTCCATTCTCAGCAGTGTCCCCTGAAGCAATTCGGAGAGGCCTTCAGGACTGGGGGGTGAGGACCCCCGCACCTCCGCTGAGACCCCCATTTCCTCCTCCTTGGGTCCCTCCATGGCCTCTGATGAAAGGGCCTCCAACAGCGGGGACGGGGTAGCCTCCTCATTTTCCCAGAGAGGCAGGCCTGCAGGGGACAAAGGGTTAGCAGTGGCCTGTCCTCCATATTCTTTTCACATTATTAGTTCACAGAAAAGAAGATGCACTGCAAATTGTAAATTTGTTGAATTGAACAAGGGTGCACTTTCCCTCCTGGACCAGCAGGCATAGCACTGGTTCCCATCGTTTTTTTCCTGGGACTGGTCTTTCTGGGCTGCAATATTCTAGACCACCACAGATGGCAGTGAAGAGCTACAGAAATCTAAGGATGTGTATAACCTTCTAGGTCAGGCCGGTTCCACTCACAGATATACAGGGTGGGGCATAACCTTTTCCTAGGGGGTCACAGCAACACTTGTAATAACAACACAAATAATTCATACACCATTCGAAAGCCCATCAAAAACTGAGTTTATTGACACGATTTAATAGTCAGTATGACCACCATTAGCCCTTCGAACAGCATTCAAACGAGGTGGATAAGAACACAACAAATCTTCAAACAGTTCCGTTCGATTTTCCAGATTTTCCAGAGGGCGGGGCATAACCTTTTCCTAGGGGGTCACAGCAAGATCGACAGCAGTTTACAACTTCCGCGACACCTCATTTTAAAGCCCATAAAAAACTGAATTGAATGAGCTATTAAATGTTAAATTTGTTTCGGTTGAAACTTTGAGAATGAATTTGGAAACTGTGTTGAAAAATCTGGAAAATCGAACGTAACTGTTTGAAGATTTGTTGTGTTCTTATCCACCTCGTTTGAATGCTGTTCGAAGGGCTAATGGTGGTCATACTGACTATTAAATCGTGTCAATAAACTCAGTTTTTGATGGGCTTTCGAATGGTGTATGAATTATTTGTGTTGTTATTACAAGTGTTGCTGTGACCCCCTAGGAAAAGGTTATGCCCCACCCTGTATATATATCTACATACATATCCAAGAGAGGGGAGGGGGGCATAAATCACTTAAGTGGTTTCTATAGCAACAGGCAGGCCTACATCTTAGTTGTTTACTTATGCTTTACAGCCTAATGTCCATCCAGGCCTGCAATCTTGGCCTGCCGCCCTTACACATTGGTCCAATCCTGTGCAACGGCAGTTAGTCCTTGACTTACAACCACAACTGAGCCCAAAACCTCCGTTGTTAAGCAACATAGTTGTTCAGTGAATTTTGCCCCATTTATGACTTTTCTTGACACAGTTGTTAAGTGAATCGCTGCAGTTGTTAATTTAGGAACACCGTTGCTAAGTGAATCTAGTTTCCCCATTGACTTTGCTTGTCAGAAGGTTGCAGAAGGCGATCCCGTGACCCTGGGGCATTGCAATTGTCATAAATACATGCAATTGCCAAGCGTCCAAATTTTGATCATCTGACCATGGGGATGCTGCAAAACAGTCGTAAATGTGAAAAAACGGTCATGTCACGTATTTCAGTTCTGTTGTAACTTTGAACAGTCATTAAGCGAATGATTGTAAGTCAAGGACTACCTGTACACTGAGTGCTCTTCTCTGTTCACGGGCCCCCTTGGTTCCCCTTTCTTTGAACAGCACATGGATAGAAAAAGAGGAGCATTCAATAAAAGCCACCATCCTATGGTTTAGCCTAAACCCGGGATGGCACGAAGTGTCACGCAAAGTCATATCGCCTGGCACACGTGGCTGGAAGTTCATTTCCTGGCGCCCGCATCCCTCTGGGCAGCTCCTCTTCCCAGTCGCTGCCCAGATGAACGTATGTGAAGTGCAAAACCATGCGCGTGCGCACAAAGTGCTCCCTTTTCGGCCCTTGGTGCCTTGTGTGTGTGCGGGCGCTCCCTTTTTGGCACTGAGTGCCGGAAAGCTTCGCCATCCTTTGCCTAGACTATTTATAGATAGCCTTGACTTATCATTCCTTTAGTGACCATTCAAAATTGTGACAGAGTTGAAAAAAAGTGACGACTGGTCTTCACACAGCATCCTTGTGGTCACAGGATCAGAATTTTGGGCACTTGGCAACCAACCTGCCTTTACAAAGGTTATACGTCCTGTGGTCATATGATCTCCATCTGTGACCTTCCCTACTGGCTTTTGACGAGTAAAGTAAACAGGGGACGCTAAGTTCATTTAATGACTATGTGTTCATTTAACAATTGGGTGATTTGCTTAACAACCACAGCAACAAAGGTCATAAAACTGGGCATGACTCACTTAACAACCTAATTGCTTGTGACAAAAGTTCCAATTGTGGTCATAAGTCGAGGACGGCTTTATGATGCTATGTGTGATCTTGCTAGGCTTTCCAACAGCACCTATGTGTCCTCTGGATCTTCTTGGCTTATTTTGTATAATTTCTTAGGATGAAATTCCACAGGTAAACTATGCAGTACTTGTATACTGATTGCTGACTATGCTAGTTCTTCTAACCACATTGAGGCCTTCTCTCTTGCACTATGAACACTTTCACTGCTATTTTAGAATAACCTCCCTCCAATGCTGGCTGAGGTATTCTGGGAATTAAAGTCCACACTTCTTAAAATGGCTAACATTGGGGAAGGTTTTAGAGGGCAGGGTTCTTTCAAGACAGAGTTTATAAACTGCATTGAGAGCACTCTGTGGAATTGGGCCACATATTTTTTTTTCTTTTTCCAAATAGATATAATCTATATTTCCCAGGCAAATAGTTGACATAGAAGTAAGAATCAGAAACTTGATTCTACAAACTTAAATTCTCTCTCAAAATCCTGAACATGGGATACTAGTCCCTAAAAAAAATGGGATATACCTTCAGCATCATCCCCTCAACTTACTTTCCATATTTCTTTGCCCAAATTAATTGAAATAAACAGTAACATTTACAAACTTATGTCGACTTCCCAGATTACAGTACTTCGAATTGCAGCTTAATCACATTTATTATTTAGAAGGAGAGAGAAAAAAATCCTCTTTATCCATGCCTGCTAAATAAGCAATTAAATGGTGAAAGGGTACAAAATAGAAATAGTTTGTTAAGACTCAGGCAATCTAACAGAACTGGTGATTAAAGTGAATTAAGATGGAATGATTTGTCTAAATGATGTGGTCTTTTCAGAAAACCTGGATCGCTTCCTTGTGAAAAGAGGCAAATAATTTGTAGCTATGATGTCTTGAGGGAAAATCAGGTAGCTCAGATACCCACTGGAGACCTACGGGTGTAAAAGTGATCTTGTGAATGCTGCCTCCCTTCTCTTTTGCTGCAGAAAGCTGCGTCATTTAGCTTCATATTTATATATTAAACTTTGCTTCATGCTGAATATATAGAAGGGAACAAGGAGGTTAGCAAAAGCCTACGGCTAGGAGGCAACCTGCTGATGGAAGGGTAATAGCCAACTTGAAGAGGCCATTCTTGCTTGGAAGAGCAGAGAAGCCTGCAGATCCGATCAGAGACCTAAAAGGCCTCAAATGATGAGTGCCGCACATCACTAGGATCGCCTGATATGACATATTCAGGGCTGACAGCTGTAGCCGCTGCAGGCAACTGCCAGCATGTGGGATCTGGGCAGCTTCTGACAAACCATTAATTGCTTTGAGCTCCCTCTATTAAGAAGGCCAGCTGCCTCAGAGGCTTGGGTGCCCTGTGCATTTGCTATTCCCTCAGTCAAATGGCTGGTGTTCTGAGGAGTGGAAAGGCCTGACTCGCTGGTCCTGGGGTGAAGGAGGTTTCCCCACCTTTGTTTGTTCAACTGAACAAAACCCAGTGGTGATGCCTCTGGAGAGGGCAAAGCTTCTAATAGGAAGTTCTGTGAGGTGACATCTTGGTGGGTTTTCATTTGCCACGTTCAGCACCTCCTGGGTGCTGAATCTCAACCTCTCCCATCCCAAGTCAACAAGGATGATGGTGTTGGAGGAGGAGAAAAATACACTCTTAACTGCAGCCCAGAAATAAAACCTTGCGTCCTTAACATCTACGTGGAAAATCTATGTACCTTCCTGCCTCAAGAATCCCTCCTTCTTGGTTTCCTAGGCCTAGCTGCTTCTTCCTCTCCTCCTCCTCCTCACATCCTTGTGCCCCACAAAACTCTGAGACCTTCTTCCCTAGCACCAGCCTTTGCCAGGGTGACTCCCTGTTGCATCAGGGTTCACCTTAACCTATCCAGCAAATTTGAACTTCTTATCCTTCACTGAATTTGCAGAGCTGCAGGATGCCAACCTCCTTTTTAGGAAACGCATCGCCAAACAGCTCGCCCTTTTGCATGATTTCATAATGCCCCCC